TCATGTTGCAGACGGTTACATCAGCTCTGCTTTGTGATGGTTTAACGGGCCGAACGGCACTTTACAGGATCACTGCTGATGTAAACCTTCATTCTTAGCTTTTACAGTCAACTTTCAAAGAATTAATCAGGACAGACCTGTTTTTTTGAGTCACTGATTTGTTTTGTTGACACGTTACAGAGCTGGTTCCTGGATCCTCTGCTCAAGAAATCACATCTGCTGAGGATGGTAAAGGCTGAGACATTAAACCTCAAATTAGTCAGTGGGGCACACAGATTACTAATCACGCTTTAAATAGCTCATTTGTGCACCCAGCATTTTTATTTAACCTTTATTTAAGGAGTAAAAGACTTCACTGAAGCAGAAATAACATATTAATAACAATATTGAACAATTTGTACGCTAAATGAAATATTGTCTTTAAGCTGAAGTGAAAGTTTCACACAAAACAGTGGTACATTAAACTGACAAGTAAACTAAAGTATTCTGCCCCAAACTAGATTATAGACACACAAAGGAACTCCTTGTGATGGATGTGGGCATTAAGTTTTCAAGGACTTCAAGGACACTGCTGTGCATTGTACCTGGATTATTTTTACAGGGCATTCTTTTTGAAAACAAGCTGAAAGCCGAAAAGATGGGTCTAATCAATACATTTATCCATGTGACTTTAGATAGCACCATCAGTCCATGAAAGTTGTTCAAAGTTCTAGAGACAGTGGGGGGTAATATGTTAAAAAACGTGTAATGGGAGCAGTGCAGCTTCACTTCTTCACTCCTTTTATGATGATCAGTGACCTGGATCTGTTCTCGTGTCTACTCGGGTTTCAGATGTTCTCGTCTCTTTTCAGTGGACGTCTTGACTCACTGACTTCTCATGGTGGTAGAAAGCAAATCAGTGATGTCACACCTCTGACATACATTTTTAATCTCATCTTGACACACATCTAAGATAAGATACAGTACTGTACAAGCTAGGTCACTACATGCTCTGTGTGTTTTTTAAGTTAGTTACATTATTTGTTTAGGTCAGGTTCTTTCGTTCGAGCAGTCCTCCCCTTCTTGGATAATTGGAAACAGACAAATACTTAAGTTTGAGAAGCACCTGAGCTCTCTTAGGAAAATAAGGCTTCTGTTCTTGTTTTCATCAGCAGCAGTGAATTTACTGATTACTGATTTATTGATTCACCACAGAAAACCCTCCACGCAGATGCAAAATCTGATGTTTTCAGACACAGAATGAACCACAGGATCGCGTAGTTCTCCCATTTTTAGTCTAAAACAACTCATAGAAGCTGCTTCTGCTTGTTCTAAACAGAAACAATATTATTTCATTACACAGTTTTTTCAATTGCTAAGATGCAATGGTCACAACTGAAGCCACTTTTTCTCTTCTCTTCACACAGTCTGCATTACGAACATGCATCTTGGCCAAACAGTTAATCTGACCTCCAAAAGTCACTCAAACCACCAAAACACTTCGTACAAGTCTCAAAATGAACTCGTTCAACCAAAACACTGGCAACAATTCTCATTTAGAAAGCATACAGTCTCACTCATAACACACTGACCTACAAAACACTAAAAATAGGGAGCATTACATAAATGAAGAACTTTTATCTTTGAAGCATGAGCGAATAAATTAGGTTTTCATTATACAATAACAATAACATATTTTCACTTTGATGGTACTAAAGTATATGTAACAAGAATGCATCAGAAATGCAGCAATTTGCTTCAATAACCTTTATTTGTTCTATATCTGTGGATAGTATTGTAAACTGTGAAAAATGTTACTGTAAGTTGAAACAACCCCCCCCCCCCCCACACAAATTTCTGGAATTCCAGGGCTGCAAACAGTAATGCAAATAAGAAACACCTCAAAAACTCATGATGTACAGTACATGAGGGTGCTAGTCCTCCCTCTCTGCTGCATTTGGCCACAAGTTCTCATCAACATCACATCTTATGTCTTCCCTGGCGATGCATCTTGGAAAGTATCTTCTGGAATGTCTAATGCCACCCTGTCAGTCTGCAGGAAAATTGTCTCCACATACCGCATTCATGGCATCCAGTAAGGTCATCTGGTCATGTGGATGGTGGTCATACACCTTCCACCTCCATGCAGAGAAAAACTCCTCTGTGGGGTTTCGGAAGGGGGAGTATGGAGGCAGGAGTAGTACTGACATCCTGGGATGTGCAGCGAACCAGTCTGTAACTGCAGCAGAGAGGTGGAATGCCACATTATCCCACACAACAACAAAGATAGGGGAGTTTCTTGCTCCTCTCTCCTCCACTGGCGCAAGGCAATTATGCAGCTCATCCAGGAAAGACATGAGCCTCTCCGTATTGTAGGGGCCAATGAGTGGTTTGTGTAACAGCAAACCATCATTGAACAATGCTGCACATATCGTGATGTTAGCTCCTCTCTGCCCTGGGACATCCACGGTTGCTTTCTGTCCAATCACATTTCTTCCCCTGCGGTGTTGTTTTGCCAGGTTGAATCCAGCTTCATCCACAAAGATGAATGTATGTGCAGTTTCCCTGGCTTCCAGCTCCATTACTCTCTAAAATACAGCAAATACAGTTTTACAGGACTTCACATTTTGCATAACTGTGTATGTTCCCTGATTGATTATTGAACAGACATCTTACCTAGACATATTGATAACAGAGTTCTTTCACATGTTCACAGTTTCTCTGGAATGGTACAGTGGACAACTGCTTTTTCCTTATTTTATGTTTCTCCAGGACTCTGGCAATTGTCGTTGTGCTGACCGAATTCACATTTCCAAAAGTAATATTGTCTGCCTTCTAAGATTTTTTACTTACTTCAATCTGGTCACTGCAGAAATGCAGTGCATTTACCATCAATCTGTTTTGAATGTTTTTTTAACAGTTTTGTTGTGTTGCAGTGTTCATGAATTTTGGAGAAAGGGGTCATTGAATGCATTTTGTGTGAAAGCAATGAAAAATTATTCACAGTTTGGTCCACATACACTTCTGTTGCGCTGACTGTGTGAAGAGTTTTGACAATGTGACTTCAGTTTTGACCAACGCAGGTTAGCAATTGAAAAAAACTGTAAATAATGAGTGTGTGAATGACAGAACTCTGCAGAGGGAGCAGAGGAGATGCTCTGAAGTAAAAGAGGGATTTGAGCCAAGAAACTAAAACTGGCAGCACACCAGCAATTTAGTATTTTTAAAATAACAGCAGAAGCAATGGCTGTCACACAGTTCGTGGAGGTAGTTATGGTATTTTAAACAGTTAGCATCCAGTCGTTGCTCAAAATGTGTTAAAGAAGTTGTTCTTCTTAGAGTCATGACTCAGTCAAATCTCAATACGCATACTGTACACTGTAAACAGGGACGACTAATAGCTAATCCTGCACACTGTTTATGGTGCCAATTTGCCAAAATATAAACAAATATGAGCTAAAAAATGTAGGTGGTAGCCCCACAGCTAACTCACTGAATGTTTGGCAATAATATACTTCCTATATACATTACCCAGAGCTGCCAAATTATGGGAACTATAGTTTCAGACCGCAGCAGGATTATACCCCAAATCAAATTAATACAAAGAACAATAAGATTTACAAAATCCATTAATGTCGCAGTATCAGTGCAGTGTGTGGCACAGAATGTCTTTATATTCCTGGAATACTGACACAAATATGTACTATGTGTTGACAACCTGTGGACATATAGAGAAAAAAGTCTAATTTTGCACAGTGATTGTGGCGCTTTCAGCAGAAATAAAAAAGAATATCACTTCATTAGACTTGGCCAGTTTTGTGGAACTTGTCTTGAATATGACCTATATGTAGGTGGTGATGCCCCGAAGGCACTGACTGGATTGTACTGTATGTCATGTCCAAGCGGGAAGCTTACGGTCAGCGAACTGAGGCGAACGTGGAAGTCCCTTAAACCTGCATTCCATCGAACAACCACTCTTCTGGTTGCAAAAAGAAGTCCGGTTCCATTAGAAATAATGGTAAAACGACCCTACTTCTCAGCTGATCTCAGTCGCTAGTTTCAAGTCTTTATGTGGTCCCATTTAGAGGAAAATAGATCATAAAGCAGAGTATGCTTCAGGGCAGGATAATCTTTGATTGACAAATTGTTACCATGGCGACCTGTTAATCAGGCTAGAGTGACTCGTACCCATGGCACTGTGTAAATTTAAGCGCGCTGAAAAAGCGTATTAGGAGTTGGCTGTTCACTTTCTCTGCTGAGTATTTTATTAAGCCTGTTGTTCGCTAGACAAAATTGTCAATCCTGTTAAATTGACAGTTAACGTGAATTCAGAGATGCACCTAGCTAAGCTAGCTAGCTAGCGCCACACACGGCCGTTAGCTCCACCGTCTCGTCCAAATGTGGTCACGTCAGGTACAGCTGGTTGCAAAACTCAACATGGCGGCGCCCTATCGTCCAAACTCGAGTCTTCAGAACGGCAGTCCACAAACCAACGGGTGACATCATGATGACTACGTCCATTTCTTCTATACAGTCTATGGTCATTTCCCATTTCTCCCTCCCGTCATTTCTCAACTGTCAACTGTTCTAAAATACTACAAAAATCCAACTTAGTCCAATCTTAAACTGGACTAGACACATTTTGACCTGCAAATGACCAAATAAGACTTATTTGAATTGCAGAAGATAATGGTTTCGAAATGCACAACACACACACACACACACACACACACACACACACACACACACACCTACATAACACAATACATAACACAATACAAGCAGAATATTGGTTATTTAGGAGTGACAATTTAGCCCAAACACAGGGGAAAAAAGGAAATGTTTGATGACCAATACTGGAACCCGGTGGTCGCTAAATCTTTGTTTAGTATATAAGCTGTTTATAAGTTTTGTAATTTGTCAACTAAAATGAACCCAAAACAGAAAACACAGTTAGCTTTGCCTCAAAATGAGCTATTAGTGTGATCTTCAGTCTCTGCCTATCTGTGTGTGTGTTTCAGGTAGCGGCTCAGGCTGTGTTGTTCATGTGTATGAACACTGCTGGAATATTCATCAGTTACCTGTCTGACCGGGCTCAGCGCCAGGCCTTCCTGGAGACGCGGCGCTGCATCGAAGCCCGGCTGCGACTCGAGACAGAGAATCAGAGACAGGTGAGTCCACAACATGCCACAAGACAGAAACGCTATACAATGTCAAAACTGCTTGTGTTGCCTGGTCGTTATCATACACTGTTTTTGATGCAATGCATTTGTCATTTTGTGTGTGAAGTGTTTTCTTTTATTTTGGCACTTTATGGTGTTCAGATTGGGATTTTTCTACATTTGCAGCGAATACCCGTGTATGTTCACAAGAGCTGCCATAATATTTATACTGTAAACAGTGGAGCCTGAAAGCACCATTAGTGTGTTTTTTTGAATGGGACAGGTTTAAAAATGTTTTGCCATGTTAGCAGCATGGCATAGGAACTGTCGGTCAGTTGTCCACCACTTTGGTCCAGACTGAAATAGCTCAGCAACTACTGGATGGATTGTCATGAAAGTTTGTACAGATCTTTGTGGTCCCCAGAGGATGAATCCTACTGACTTCAGTGATCATCTGACTTTTCCTCTAGTGCCACCTCCATCTGTGCTTCAGAGTGAAATATCTTGACAGCAATTGGATGGATTACCACAACAGTTTTAACAGATATTCAAAGTTCCAGGATGATAAATTCTAATGATTTGTGTGATTCCCAGACTGTTCCTGTAGCACCAACAGAGGGTTCAAATATCTCAAAACACACTGGTGCAAAATTTCTACAGATATACAGTGATCCCCTCACCTTTTTGTTAGTGCTACCATGATGTTGAAAATTGTTTGTTTTTTATCTAAATATCTCAAAATCTATTGGATGGATTGCTGTGAAATGTAGTTCACACATTTGTGTGGTGGTGATGGAGCAGTGGATAAGACACATGCCTTTGGTGTGAAAGACCCGGGTTCAATTACCCACTGTGACACATCCACCAATGTGTCCCTGAGCAAGACACTCAACCCCTAGTTTCTCCAGAGGTGTGCGACCTCTGACATATATGCCAATTGTCGTCAGCTAAATCCAAATAAGGTTAAAGTCCAGACTTGGTTGAAGATACCAGTCAGCTTACTGGTTGCTTCATCATGATGGATGGGCTCAAAAGCTATGGTGGAGTTTTAATGTAAGAGGGTTTGAAAGATCAGCCGTTGGGCTCAGACCTACATTTGAACCCTATGCAGAATTCTAACCTACACACTTTAACAGATATTGAACAGTGACCTTTAGATGACCTTGAACCACCGTGGAAGCCAAAAAATGCTACATAACAGAATAATGTGTAGAATGATGTGCTTTTACTTCCTGTTGTGTAGTGATGGAGCTCAGCGTGAAGAGATTTTGATGAAGCGATTGATGGATTTCCGTTGACAGGGCCGAATGTTAGCAGCTCGGCTAATGAGCCTGCTGAGGAGAATAACAATGGACATTGCATCGATTCACTGCTGTCACGCAAACTGTGCATCAGTGCGGTGGACACAGACACATACACGGCTGCAAACAGAGCCTAACAAGGGCAACACGCACACACATGCTCAAATAGAAACAATACACATACACGTCAAATACACGTCTAAGTCAGATGGGCAGAGTATACAAACAAACACACAGCCACACACACAGTGACACAAAGTGAGCTGTGTTTACGCAGTGGAGTGGATGGTCAGGCTCTGAGAAGCCACAGAAAGCTTTTAAGGCGTTGTGTTTCCTGGAAGGGTTTGGCACTGATAAGCTCTGGGATGGCTGTAATGGAGCGAGATGGGGCCCTGCCCTGAACAGACCACGTTAATGTGAACATGCTGTAAGAACACAGAGCCACGTTTCTGTTTACAGCACAAGGCAAGATGGACTCCTTCTCTGCGTCTTCTCCGTACTCTGTATTTCTTGTGTGTCTGTGCTGTGAGGGCACGATGTGGATAGGAACTGCAAGTAGAGAAAAGGACTACAGAATTTAAAGTTGCACTAATTCATATTTTTATATTAATACTGATCAAATTACTGTGTGATGATTTGACTGGCAATGTTTGAAAAAAACAGGTCGTTTAAAAAGACGTACAGCTGTTCTGTCTGTATTTTCAGAATCCTCAAAGACTGTTCCAACCATCTGGATGAAAAAATATCAGAGGCACAAACTGGGGGGTGGGGGTGGGCTACAGTAGCGTTATATAGGACACATTTTACTAGAACTAAAGAAAGAAAGGGGTTGTCATGGTGATGCAACATTGTAAAATAACCAGTGATGCATTTCACTCACATAAAAACAGTTAACACTCAACATCTTAGCTCTAAACGCTAAAATAACATGTCAGCATAAATTAAAATTTACAGCAGGAGTAAGATACACTTAATACGCTACTCAGTGTTATAGCTGTTGAATCCTGCAGGATTTTGTGGCTAGAAATACTATACTGCAGGACACGAAAAAACCTCTGTTCAGGTTACCACTTATGACTAAATCTGGTGGTATTCACAACTGAATAGCCTGCACTGCTATCAAGCATTTGTCAATAGTAAGACTAAAGGGAGTAGAGACCCATACAGAAATACAGAACTGTTTTGATGTAATTAATGGAGGATAAGGACGGAAAGATTAAACAAATGACACGATTAAAGCAAGCTCATATCTCGTCACGTGTCATGACACGACTCTGCAGTTCCTATCATCTCTACAGAGTTTTATCATCAAACAAGCTCTGACAAACCCACTGCACACTGCCTTCACTGCAACATACAGCCGACAGTGAGAGACTACCTGGTAAAGAAAGAGGAGCCGAAAATAATACCAAACCAGAGCTTAAAGAAGAGTGAATATTGGACTTTCATTCATCAGGCGGACACAAAAGCAAGCTCTTAACTAAGATGCTAGGCACATCAACTTAAAATGTGATAATTTGTCAGTGTTGTGTTTACAGCTTGTTGTGCTACCCCCGGGTGATATTTGTACTTTTATTTACCCTGGGCTTTGTCTCTCAGGCTTCATACAGGTTGTCCTAATTTATTGGTGTGTTGCCGGGGCTCTACGCAGCCTGAAAGGAATACCTGCAGAACAAAATCTATATATACTGTTTATATTTACTTTGCACCCTCAAATCTGAAACCAAATCTACGCCCTTCCAAAAAATAATAGTTAGCTAACAAAAGAATGGAAATCTAGTGTCTCCCAACAGCAGAGGAAGATGAAGATGACATTCTGATAGTATCATCACAATGGCCAAAACGTGAATATGAAAGAGTCATTATTAAGTCATTATTTTAAGTGTGAAGGAACTGATCTTTACTGTTTTCAAATAAACCCCTTATGGTTCAGTGCAGGAGCAAAGCTTATGAATAGGAATTCACTTGAAACGCTGACATAAATTGGACATTCATTGCAGACTTTAAACTGGAAACCCACCAGCAGCCACAATAAAAACTGGACAAAGGAACAAAGTGAAGAAGTTAACACAATCTGAATGAGATATGAGGATAGAAGTTGTCAGTGAGTTGCTGTAGGGCTTCAGCTTGCGGTTAAAATCAAGCTGCGCTAATGACTTTCAGAGCTAATCTGACACTGAGTCCGCTGGCTCTCAGCTGTCCAAACCCGAGACCATGTCCAGTAGAGCAAACACACACTCCAGCCCCCGTTAACTGTCCACACTGTAAAAAATGTCCAGCTGAGCAAGTCAGTAATGGCTGTGGTTTCAAACAATGAAAAAGCATAAAAATCCTGATGAGATGTTATTTCCAGAAAATGACATTTATTGCGAAGAAAAACAACAATTATAAAGTGAGAATTTGTAATTTTCAAAATAAAACCATATTCAGTCACACAACACCTATAATGTACAGCTATCAAATTAACAAAAAGGAAATCCAATACAAAAAGACAGATATCATTAAGACATAGATATTAATAAAAGTGGTTCTTACCAAATATAGTAGATAGCGCTGAAATTTCTCTTTAACTTTCAGTTAGACAGTTAGATGTATAGTATGTATCAGCTTGTTCACATTGAGTGAAATAAGCAAATCCAAGACACAGCAAAGTTAGAAAGGAGAGGTCCAGCTCCAAGATCCTTTTTGGAATAAACATATTGTTGACATGTGCAAAGAGAGTGTGTAGAAAAATAAAATGCAATAAAAGCAGAAAATTAGAATTGATGTTACATTTTCATCTATGGTAAACAGATTGTGAAAGGCAGCCATTTATACATGAGGCATTTCTGATTAACAAAGATCCTAATGTGATTATTGAAGGAATCAAAAGTTTCCATGTAAATGCAGCTCCATTTGATTGACAGGTGACATCTCTGTGGTGCAACAGAAACATCACAGCTCTGAGATTGATGCGCTGACACTAAACAAAATCCAAACTGGGCTCCTCAGAGGTTCAAACTTTCAGTTTAAATTCAACACGACTCTGTAAAATCAACATTTCTTGCAGTGAATCTCCTGCACCAAACCCCGGAGCGTTTGGTTGCGATGAGGCAGCCGAAGCATTAGCAACGCTCCACTGAAATGTTTGTCTGTCTAGACCTTAATTTGGGGATGCACTGCTCTGCTTTCCAGCACAGATACCAGGTCAACACAACACAACAGAGCCGTGCTGAGAGCAGGAGGCAGCGTGACGGCAGAGATAGCTGAGCAGCAGAAACACCTGCTCTCCTCCAACACATTGTACACATTTTACACACTCAGCTGATGGCCATGTCCACAGTGGAGCCTCAGTAAGAGGAGCTGTCCAATCAGCAGCATCACAAGCTGCCACCGTAACAATAGCAAATACCTTCGTTTGTAGTGGAGTAAACACCACTTAAACACTTGCACCTTTATTGTTAAATAGTCTTTGTAATTTCATAATTTCATAAAATTTATTAAAATGTAGGAATATTGAATAAGCTACCTAACCAACATAAATACGTATTAAATGAAAGAATGACTGATGCTGGATTTTTTTTTAAGTTTAAAAAAAGTATACATATATATATATATACTGCATATATATATGGGGAAGATATTAGTTTTTACATAATCATTAATACACATTGGTGTATTGAATAGTGACAAAGAGAAAAGCAGCATGTTTGTAATTCCTTAATAAATATGCGTAACTCGTGTGATTTACATGCTTTTTAGAAAATGTTTATTTTATTTCATTTTTGTCTTTGGATGTCTGTATCCCATGATTGTCTCTGTGATTTTTGTTTTGTGTATTTTGACAAGAGGATAAGGAAATTTTCTGCTCAAATTGTACATTTCAGCTGCTGTACAGTAGCATGACTACATCATCTCTCTGTATGGGACATCGAGTGTGTGGTAACACTCTCTGATGCAGACGTAGTGTGCTGCATTTAACAATTCAGTTTTTTATGCAGTACATTTAAACTGGAATTGACATAATTCTAAAAACACACACTACAGCTACAAAGGAAAACGACTGGCCCAGGTAACGTATATAGGGACTTTTAGGTGTTGTTGTTGTTGCTGTTTTTGTTTTTTTGTTTCTGTATGTTTTTTGATCTGCATGCAGAGTTTAGTCATTGCGAGAACCCTTATTTAGTCAGCCCTGTCAGTCTTTATACATATCACATAAAAAGTTATGTTCTATCAAATTGGACATTTGATTAACTATTGCTGCATTTTTTAAACTATGACTTATGATACATAACATTGGTGTTTTCCTAATCAGACTTTCCTGATTTGAACCAGGAGGTCTGATTCTGGTGGTGTGTGTGCGTGCGTGTGTTGGTTAAAATTTAGATCGAAGGCAGTGATGAAACAGCGTTAGTGAATTGTTAATGAATGTTGTAAGAATGAAAATAGATGCGTGTTTGTTTTAGCAAACAGTGAATGGAGCAGAGGATGCTCTCTCTCGCCCTCTCCTCTCTCTCTCTCTCTCTCTCTCTCTCTCCACTAGTACTCCAGGTTTGAAGAGGCTCTTCAGAGCTCTCAGACAGCAGCGTCACTGAGTTCACAGGAGGTTGGATGATTATTTTTTACTGGTAAACTGTACAGTCTGCCAAACGGGGCAAAAACAACATAGTAACACAATAACAGCTCACATTTTCATTGATTGTGTCATCATAGAGCTAAAGAACAATACAGTACATGATAACATCTTACATGACTGCTGTCATTACCTCACCACATTCAGAGTTCATAATCGAGACAGAAAGACAGTCTCTTTACTCAACTGTTTACTTAGATTCCTTACATTCACATTTATGAAGATTTTAGTAATTCCTAAACTGTTCACTGCTGCCAAAGAATGAGGAAGTCTTTGCCTTGTTAGTAGAAAACGTATGGTCTTCTGATATGAACTAACAGAAAGTTAATTCGTGCACAGAGGAAGAACTGTTTTTAGAAGAATAAGAGGATATGTATTACAGTATTATAGAGTATATTATTATTATTATTATTATTATTATTTCTCATAAGCTGTTTTATTTTACACAAAGTTAATTCCATAGTGAATAAATGAGAACATGTACTGTAACTTCAGAAGCAGGTAGAAGTGGCAACATATTTCATCACTCTGACAGCACATGGAAAAGGAGAATAACAACCACAATGTAATTTCATATTTTCTATGTAAACACGTGTCTGTGTTTATGGATGCATTGCTCTGATATGTTGTATTGGTATTGCTCCAGATACTGACCTTATTGAGGGGTCAGGAATAGCAGTGATGTGACTGATCCACATTAAATATACGTACTTCCTTCCTTTGTCAGAGTCATTATGGAAATTCAGTGTTTCTGCTGTCACTTACATTGATCCAGTAACTGGCTGTTTCAGGACTGAATAATAGACAAAGTGACAAGTTTAGATTCTTTGCAGTAATTTTGTGTCCCTCTGTCTTTCTGTTAGTGTAGAGCACCAGAGACCAGCTGGGTTTTTGAATGTTAGCAGGATTTCTGGGTAGAGAAACTTGAGTCTTGGTTTTAATGTATTCAGTATCTGAAGGAGGCCGTTGCTTGGCGCTGCTGCTGATCCCTGAAGCCAAAAAAATACTGAGGAATGCTGCATGGCTCCCACTCCAAATCTGTTTCTGCTTTTGCCAAGTGACACTGCGTCAGTACAAAAACCACAAGACAAATTCGGTTGTTTGTGCTGTGCGGGCCTGGAGGCTTTGCAGGATCCTGCTCGAGAAGCTTAGGCTGGCAGAGTTAGAGTCATCTTTTCAATCATTTCTTACAGACAGGCCTTTATGTAATTTGTTTTACAGGTTGTTTTTTTTTTACTAGGGTTTGCCTGTTTAATACTTAGTTCTTGTCTTGTGTCTCCATTTAATTCCTCTTAATCTTGATGTTGTGTTATTCACTGTAAAACACTTAAATCTCAAGAAATGTACAAATATTGGGTTTTTAAGTACCACTTCACCATATATATATATATGTATGTATGTATGTATGTATAGACAGACAGACAGACAGACAGACAGATGTATATTGAGACCTAAAAAATCTAGCTTTCTTTAACTTAGTGAAATAATATGCTGGTGCAATAAGATGTTACTGTAGACAAAAACAGGTGTCACCCTCTTGGAAGGATTAGTGCCCTGGAAAATGACACATTATACTAGCAACTTTTTGAAACTTTTTGAAACTAAATAACAAGTTCAAATAACCTCTCAACAGTGGCTGATTCTTTTCACTATTTCAAAGAAAATGTTACTTCCTTACTGACTCAATGATCCACAAAAAATGTATTAATAAGAAGGACATTTTTGCATTGCAGGTGTTTAACACATTATGTAATTTTCAGTTTGTTCAAATAACTGGCTATTACCGTTGTTGTTTCAGAGTATTAATAGGATTGCTTTTTCTCCCCCACAGGAGAGACTGGTGTTATCAGTCCTACCACGTTTTGTAGTTTTGGAAATGATCAACGACATGACAAATGTAGAGGACGAGCACCTCCAGCATCAGTTTCACAGAATCTACATCCACCGCTATGAGAATGTCAGGTGAGGCCACCAGTTTGGTTGTAATATAATCATTTATTCATCCTTTGAATGAAGTGTCTTAATCAATAGTAACTAAATGTTGATGCTACTGATGCTTCACGCTATGTCAGAACGCTCACTGGTGAAGCAAACCTCACTCTGACTCAAACTGACTACAAACACTCACACAGGGGTTTTCAGGTCGGCAAGCTGAAATGCTGAAAATAAACTAATTACATTTTACATTGTAACCTGTTTAGTTATGTTTAAGTTCCATTGGTGGCTTTAGCTGTGTTTTACCCGTCCTCTGAAGGGCTCTCAAATAAACTTACTTCACTCAACTTACTTATTTCATTTTATGTAAAAAGACACAGGAAGGAGGGGTGCTGAGGGGGGTCCCAGCGCCCCCTAACAAAAGAAAGAGCTCATGTGGACGAGCAGGAGATAGAGGGGAATATGCCAATGTGGAGTGTGGTCATAAAAACCTTCTTTGATCATGATGCCTGATGTTTCTCTGCAGCTCTGTGGTTTATCAGTAAAGTGTCTGAACTCCACTGCAGACTGGAGTCTCTGTTAACAGTGACAGACAGACGCTCGGCTCCTCTATGAATCCTCACTGCACTGTATTATAAGAAACTATGATGAACTGGTTGTGGCTCACATCGCTCTCTCTCATCCAGGCTCTGTCTCCCTCTCTGTCTTCATCCCCTGCAGTTCTCATGCATTAGTTCCTGTTGTTGACTGTAGTTTCTGTGGCTGCTTTCACACACAGTATGTTGGTGTTCGTTGTCAATAGCTATTAAAAGTTATCCTGGCCATTCAAATGAATACGAAAAACATGAACATCTTGCACCATTTGTATGACATCATTATATAGACTGACCTTCTCTCTGTGTCCCTGTGTAGGGGAGACCAGGGTCGGTAGGCACACTTTTAACTCTCTGCTGTATTTCTCTGGCAGAATTTATGGTAGAATATTCTAACCAACGGCAAATAAAAGGTTAAGACCCCTGCTATAAATAAATATTTTATTGTTTTTCATTAAAGTTTTTTTATTTTATTAAAGATTTATTGTACGCAAATGTTTTCCAAAATTAGGTGATTAGTGATTAAAGTTATTTTGTGCATTTGTGCCAACCAGCACGATCACAGAGTTGGGTAGGGCCCCACATTAGTTCTTAAAAAGGGCCCCCAGATGCTTAAGGCCACCACTGTGAAGTTCCAGGAAGGTTCAGAGGTTCTCTAGTGCAGGGGTTTTCGAAGTCTAAGACTGTGGGCCTTCTCTTTAACATCCAAGCCTGGTTTCTAGGAAGCTATTAAGTCACTAACACAGGGCTCATCAAAGAGAAATGAGATCATCACTCATATTTGAGTTTCACGTTCAGTCACCATAGAAGTTGACAGGTCTTTTCACCCAAGACTCTGACCGATACTGTAAGTTTCACTCAGTCTCTGTATCCAAGAATGCAGGTAAGTTTCTCATCGGTGATGTTGATCTTTGAAACCTCTCACAGTGATCTGAGTGTGGTTACAGCTGTTTATCACCAGTCACTTATGTGTACAGGGAAAACAGGACAGAAGTTTTAATTGCATTAAATATTGTTAAGTAATAATAAGTATTTGGATGGTTTTAAAGAACTGACCTGGATAATAAAGTGACATTTCCATATTTTATTCAGCATTCTTTTCGCAGATGTCAAAGGCTTCACAAACCTCTCCACGACGCTGTCAGCGCAGGAGCTGGTGCGAATGTTGAATGAACTCTTTGCACGCTTCGACCGCCTCGCACATGTAAGTGATTTGGCTTTTGACCCCAGATACATGTATCTCTGTTATTATTTTTACTATAATGCAATGTTTCAGTATCAAACACTCGCTTTAAAGATGGCTTCTTTTACAAAGAACAGCGGTGGTTGGTTTAGATTCATGTCAGTCACACTTGATTCTAATGGTGACCAGTTTTTGTGGCTACAAAATAATATGAGAACATTCATAGAGATGTTTTCAACTACATCATGATACTTCTCACTGTCCATAGCCTGACATGGATTCATAAAAGCTTCAAATTTCCACTATAAGCTGTTTCTTTAGCCATATTTTTGTAGTTGTAGAGTTTATGCTTATGGTTGGACCATCAAGCAGTGAAAAGATCCGTTTTTTTGTTGGTGTCTTCCAAAATGACATGGCCATTCCAAAAACAATTCCTATGAGTATTTTCTGATCTGATAATTCTCTGGTCAGGGTTTGGTAACATCAGGCAACTAAAACTACTCAGTTGAGGTTGGACAAGGTCTCTTACGTAGAGAAAGGAAGTTTGATTTGACAAAATTGCCAAGGAAATGCTTAAATTTAAGTATATTTTTCGCATTTTCCAGGAAATAACAGTTTTCCAGGACCTTCGGGTGCCCATTTTTATGGGATCTTTAATGACCAATGCTTATGCTTTTCTGGTGAGGATAGTCTCAGATAGACAGGTGGATTATGCTGAGGGCATGGTTTCCAAGGTTTTTTATCTATAAGTCTAGATGCTCCTGATACTGCCATTATAATCTGCTGTAACTAAAAGGAAATGGCTTAGGAAATAACATGGTTTAAGGTCTGTTCCATGTATCCCCTGTTCTTGCATCCCTCTAACTAGTCCCCAGTTATATTTTAGATCTCCTCCGTCCTCATTCCACTTCTTGACCACACCAACCCTCAGATCTCTGCCTTTTATCCATGCCAAAACAAAAATGAAAGTATTTTAAGTGGTTTCTAAAAAATCCATCTTTATAGGCAAGCCTTTTTAGAGATATCCTTCCCTGTGTTATGTTTTGGTTTGTTTTAAAATTTAATTTATATTTATATATTAATTTATATTGTGTGTGTTAAGCACTTTATAATTGTGTGATTTAAAAGTTGCTATATAAATATGTCGATGCTAAAAAAAAGTAAATGATTTGGTTCAAATTGCATTTCAAATTTAGAAAGATGGCCTCTTCAGCTCAGACCAGATTTAAACATAACGTCTGCTTTCTACCCTTTTTGTTTTCCACGTCTTATGGAAAAATACGTCTTTGGAAACAAACACTTAACCCAGATGTGAGTCAGAGCTCATCTTTTCTGTGACAGCCTCGCAGGGCTGCCAGAGCTCATGAAAGCTATATAAAAATACTCCAGCAGCCAAATTAATATTTTATTCAAAACAACAGAGTGAATAACTGATTCAACATTCACTCTACTGGACTGTTTGCTCGTCTGATATTAGAGTGAAAAGCATTTCAGGCCGTCATGCTTTGCCAGTCAGGATTTCACAGTCAGCACTTTAATGCAGAACAGACCTTGTTTTCACTGGTGTATTCTTTTTATTTGTCACATATATTTCTCTGTATTGCTATTTTAGATTGCATATGGTATATATTATTACATACTACTAGTGCTCTTCTGTTGTAAGGTTAAATAATGCTGCCATAGATGGTGTTTGTCTATAAACCAATGTAATTGGTCTGTTGCAGGAACACCACTGTCTACGAATAAAGATCCTGGGAGACTGTTATTACTGTGTGTCTGGTCTACCTGAGCCCAGACAGGACCACGCTCACTGCTGCGTGGAGATGGGCCTCAGCATGATCAAAACCATCAGGTACTGTCTTTTCCATAATGCTTCTACAGTTGACCATTATTTTCAACTGTAGATATGTCAACTCGATCGATCCAACAATTACGCCCAAACTGAAATACTTCTCCATCTGTTGGATGGATTTTCACAAAATCTGGTTTTCACAAATAATATAATAACTTAAACAGACCCCTGACCTTCCATCTAGCGTTATGTTGGGTGGGTGCCTGTCAGCTTCTTTTAATGTTTTTCTGTCTCATTATGTAGTGGATAACTATTGATACTGAAGAAAATGTAGCTATAAGGATTTATAGGCTTTTATCTGGGGTTTATTCATACTGCCGTCACTGGAAAGAGTTAGTCACGGTGATTCTAGAAATATATGTGTGTGAAGTCTGTGTGTTCAGACCTGTGCGCATTGATTTCAGAAACTTAACGCAGCTTTAAGTACAGTTTGGAGGCACTTGTACTTTACTTAGTATCTCTAACACTCCTTACATGCATGAAACATGCTACATCGTTTGAAGCTTAAAGCACAAGATTACACACACAGCATTAATTGTTAATTTATTATATTATTATATATGCAGTTTCCCTGAAACTTAAAAAGAGGCTTTGAAAACATATTTTACCCCGAGGTGTTGGACAGCAGTGCTGTTATCTGTGAATATCTCATTTCTCACAGTACTCTGTATGCCAGGTCTGTGATCTGAAAGCAGCTTCCCTTCTATATTTGCATTTACAAGAATTTGCCCCTGGTTGTGTTTCTATAGAACATCAGTAACAAATAATGTATGCAATTACAAGGTTCAATCATATCATACATCCATGCATCCCTGACACGGGAGAAGAAAAATATTTTTAGCGGTGGTATCTCTTTTTTTTGAAATTACACAACAGGGATTTACAGATCTCATAAGCTCATGAATCCTGACACATAACAGACTGTGGAATCTTCAATTCATGTAAAAAAGGAGGTGTGCAGCAGAAATAAAGTCTCCAAACACTCATTTAAAACACACTCGCTCTTGTACTTTTATTGGCATTTTTATTTCGATTATCTTCGTTGCTGTAACATTTTGACCCTGTCGCATCATTTTCAGCGTGACAGTGAGGGGAGGGGCACTGATGTTTAGAGGGAAAAGAGGGATTAGTGATGGATAAGCTGTGAGATTTGTGCTGAATATTATTAAGTCAATATGGTGAGCTGCCTACCGATGACCATTTTGTGCTTGACCCCAGCATCTGCAGCTTGTGAGGTACATGTAAAAGATGGAAAGATGGGTTTGCACGTTTTTTGCTGGCCAACACAGTGTGTTGCTGGATGACTTGGCTTTGCGTTTCGACAAAAGCTGAGGTTCAACCTTTTTGCTGAAAATTAAATGAGGTGGCATTTATTGACACACTGTTAACGTCAGTATGACTATTGTCTATAAGGGCTTCAGTGTGCTTCAAATGAAGTGCTTGTCTAATCATCTAACAAAACCCCTTCCCATACCTTCCAACAGTGGAATCAGGTGACAGTTTCTGTAACTCTCTGTAACCTACAATCTTTACTGACTTTAAACAGTGTTTGGCCACAATGTTATCACTGCATAACATTAAGTCTGCACTTGTGTGGCACTTAGTTGTGTTTATACATGCAGATTAATATCTTTGTACCAATTTAATAACCTGAATTTACTGGATGTACTCTTTACTCTTATTTTCTGTTGCGTTTTAATTCTTTTGACGATGCTGTTCATGTTTACAGGAGTTGTGCTAATTATGACTCTGCACAAAAACAAAGAGGTCTAGTGCCTCTTCTTTCAACACCACTAATGCATGTCAAGATGCAATTTTCCTATTAAAATTGAATTGAGGTCAAACATGAGTGCGGAGCGGGTGAGACATGCTGTGGGTTAATGCATGTTTAAGGCTCATTTTCAAACAAATAAAAAAACAGCATGGATATGTGGTGTGGGAAATAAGAGTGATCTGTTTTAGAATTTAATTGTCTTCTTCACATTTACATCGCAGTTTACGCCCATAAGCATTTCAGTGTGGAACTTGGTGAAAGCTAATAGAGGTGCGACTGATGGCTTTGGATGGAAAATGCATCATGCCATGGAATGTGGTGTTTCGTCATAATTGTTCATAGCACCATCATCAGGGCAAATTTTAATTTCATCAGCCTTAGCTGTACTTTGTATTTAGTGCTTATTAGCAAATGTTAGCAAGCTAACGTGCTAAACTAAGATCGTGAACATGGACAACACAGTCATGTACTGACTGATACCCATACACAGGATGAGCCAGGGGTGGCCAAACTGCCCGATATCAAATCACCTGCCGTGATTTAAAAAAAAGAAAGGCTTGAGCTTATTTCTAATAAATTGCACATCCTAGTATAAAAACTAGATGTTTCTGTCATCTTTAACAACTACCAGCAAGTCCTGTCATTGCACACCAGAGCATGGTGCTGACCTCTGACCTTCACAGGGAGGTGAAGAACTTTACCTGCAGAGTCAATAAAGCATCATCATCATTATCCTCATCAGAGTCATGACAAACTGCAGTTTGTTTGAGTAGATTCCAGCCCTGGGTGTCATTCAGCAGTCGACTGACTTTAAGCACCTGTCACAAACTCCCAGGATGCCTTTCACCTCACATTCATCACTGCTGTTATGAACCATGAAATGAGGCCGGGAGGCAGGGATGGGCATGACAGCCCTGTTTGCTCTTCACAGGCTTTTATCAGCCTCAGTTTGTCCTGCGTTTATTGAGTTTAGGGATAATAAAGTATGAAATGAGAAACAAATTATTAATTAAGTGTGAAAAGTCTGCTGAAAATGTTTTTCTCCCCTGTTTAGGGCTAACTGATATGTGTGAAATGTATTGTGTTCATTTCTTGGTGAATTTATCAACATTGTTTGTCTGTCAGCATTATCTGTGTAGCCAAAGGTCATTTTCATGTATAATAATGTGCTGAATTAATGCACACAGACACTGCATTGTACTCAGTGACCCAAAGTTACCTCCAGACTATATAAAACAGACAAACATCTGCCCTTAAGTCAAGAGCACAAACTGGGAATGGGGAATGGGGGTTGAGGGTTAAAGTTAATTTACTTTATTACTTTCTGGATGTGGACTTGTATAGGTAAGGTATTGGTAAATATTTAAATAACTATATATTGTTTATATTTTTTAGTTCTATTCTAAATATAAATACTTGTATGTTCTATGTATGTGTAGCATGAAGGTGCTACAGCTTACATTTTATTGTGCAGCCCTGTGTTGTAATAAATAAATGACATTGATTCCTTGATATGAACTCTCTGTATGTATATCTTTTATGCAGCCTCAGTTTCAATTCATCTGTTTAGGGTGTTATGGAAATGAACTTGTAGAGAACATAAACAAATTGAACATATAGTTTGTTGTTGACTACTAGATCCTTCTAATGGTTACTTTTTAAAACCTGAACTAGACTCATTGTGTTTCTTCCAGATATGTGAGATCACGAACGAAACACGACATCGACATGCGCATTGGCATCCACTCAGGCTCTGTGCTGTGTGGCGTGTTGGGACTCAGGAAATGGCAGTTTGATGTCTGGTCCTGGGACGTGGACATCGCCAACAAGCTGGAGTCTGGAGGGATCCCAGGGTGAGTAAACCAAAAGCTTTTTGGTGGGACATTTGCCTTTAATTTGATTGTTGGTTTTAATGGGACACATGGTTAGAGAGAAAGCAAAAGGAAGCTGTCTGTCTGTGGTTGCATGATGAAGACTGGGTAGGTTTGGAATGAGACGTGTCTAAACAGTGAAGGACAAGAGATGTGGTGCCTTTCTTCAGTCTAAGACACAGACAGACTGTTTCCATTTGGACCTTGATTTTTGAGCCACAATTTGGTTCTTATCTCGTTTTCCCCCTGTTTTTAATATTGTTATTATTATTAGTCTACCATGCAGGCATGATCACTCAATCATGACTTGACAAAAACAGTCAGGTGCCAAAGTACATTTGGAAACACGTTTTAGCATTTTGCAGAGAAACACAGAGAGAGATGTCATCTAGTATTACTTTACAAGACGCAGACATAGTGGAAATTTAACAATCATGGAGCGACAGTGAACACACCAGTGCTGGTGTCATTTGGTATCACGTTGGTTCAGATCCACATGCGGGGCACCTGCTGCTGTGAAAATGGAATCGCGGGTGAGTTTATTTGACGAGTTGGCTTTAAAAGGGTACTGCTGATGAGGAAAGTCAGCAAAGCAGACACTTACTGAGAGAGAGAGAGAGAGAGAGAGAGAGGAAGAGCCGCTGTGTTTGCAGTGAGAGAGCAGAGGTGTAGGTGTGTGTGAGAAAAAGATAACTGAAGAGAAAGGGAGCAGATTGAAGGAGTGAGTCAACACTAAAATAAGGTGCAATGAAGTAGAATAAAAATGATGAATGAATTACCCTACAAGAAAATACGTTATACACTGATACCCTTCCTGCCCCCTGCCTGGCCACCCTTGCCGCCAGAGTTACACCATCTTAAATGTTAATGAGAGCTCAACAGTCCAGGGAGCAGGTGTGTCACAGTTCTGTCCCTTGGAACCACAACACGAGACTGTGGACGTTTGTGTCATGGTTTTGGTCTTGGTTTTAGAACTGTTACAGCCCTAATGATTTGTGATTAAAATAATATTGTGCATTTGGGCCACCCTGTCCCATAACAGGGTAGTGCTGTACGTCTTTTTAAACGGGCCCCAGATGCTTAAGGCCATCAAAGCGTTTTTTTCCTGTGGCCAGCGTCTTTTTTCAATTCATTGCTAGCTGAGCGCTGAGCTTTTTTTTTCAGTCGCCAAGAGTTAAAAAATGTTCAACTTTGTGAAAAACGCTGCGCTTGACACTGTCACTTTTTACCCAGCCGTCCAATCACAGTGCAGGAGGGGCAGGACAAACACCACACTGAGCCATATCAGCTCTTGAACGAAACGATGTGCCTCCTCGCTGAGGTTTTTCCTCGTCCGTAAGATCTCACAAACCCTCGTACTGTCCACTTGCTCTACATATTTCAGCATTCTCTTCATGCAGAGCAAGTAGGCCTACATACGTTGTGGTGACATTTTTACATTCAGTAAAATTAGGTAGCCTACTTGCAGAACATCACCACCTGTTGTGTTGCTGTAACTTTGGGTGTCAGAGTGGTGTGGAGGTCTTCTGCCTCCGAGTGGCCAAAAAAAACACTTACTGTATCTTTAAAGCATGATTTTTATTAAATGCTCCTTGCCCGTTCCAGGAGGATCCACATCTCCAAAGCCGCTTTGGACTGTTTGAATGGTGACTATGAGGTGGAGGAGGGCCATGGGAAGGACCGCAACGACTTCCTCCGCCGCCACAACATTGAGACATTCCTTATCAAGCAGCCAGAGGATAGTCTGCTCACCTTGCCGGAGGACATCATGAAGGAGGCGGCCAGCTCGGCCGACCGCAGGGCGAGCAGCACCACCTTTAACGAGGCGTCCTGGAGCCCAGAGCTTCCCTTTGACAACATTGTGGGGAAGCAGAATGTAAGTCCTGCTGCTGTTTTCAATTCAAGTCCAGTTGTACTTTATCACACTGTGAAAAAAACTTCTGTCTGAACAGAAAACCAGTTCTGCAATTGAGGATTAAACTGTTGTTTTTATTCAAACATGGAATAATGTTTGTCAAATTTGCCAAATTGTAAAATAATCTAATCGTAACCTGTAGAGAGACTTTGTAAGTCTGTATAAGACTTTAAGCCTCAGTGCAGGATGAATTGGTTTCTTAAGATGGATGCTTTTTGCAGTGCATGGGATATGTCTCACCTGTTTGTTGGTTGTTTTGTCATTTTTTGTTTTCCTGGGAATGAGTGGACGCCTTTCTGTGGAGAGATTGTATTACCATGGTAACGCCTCAATATGCGTCAGCCTGCCTGTTTGTGAGGATGGCAAGCTGATTGTGATCGTGTGGTCCATTTAAACATCCTCTTCATCCCTTCTTTATTCGTTTGTGTTCCCGTCTGCCCGTGACAACACATCAGCCCCCGGAGGCATCATGTTGACAATCTGGGGTTAAGTGTCTTGGAGACACTTCGCCTTGCAGAGAGAAGGATCTGGGAATTGAACCGCCAACCTGTGATCTATATATATATCTATATATACACACACACACATATATATATATATATATATAAATATATACACACACACACACACATACACATTTAAGGTTCAGTTGGTTGAGATCATTGGTTTTGAAAACAGCCATAGTGATTGTAAATGAAGAGAGTTCTTCAATACATAAAACATACAAGATACTTTTACACCTTAGTATTTATGTAACTTTCTGTACTACAGAATTTCACAAACTGCTAGTACTACAGATTCTGTAGTACTAGTAGTTTGTGAAATGATGTTGCGTATGTCCAACAAATTTGGACAATTTGGCATTTGGAATATAATATACAATGATATGAAACTGAGCAAGGCAGCAAATGCCCACAGTTTGGAAGTTGCTACTAGCACAGGTTTTGTAAATGAAATGTGTTTATTTATTGCAAAAGTTTTAGCAGTAACTGTGATATTGTTTCAATGGGTCATGGATTCCTTCAGCACTAGTCACAATATCAACATGTTTATATCATTACATTAAGGTTACGATGTAAGATGATAATAATTTTTCCCAGCACTTTGAAATTTGTCTTCACTGTCTTGTGACAAATGTGCAGAACCAGAGTTGTTTGTTTCATCTCCTGCAGCTAACAGTGAACTCAGCATTACCTCTTGTGTATACATGAGGATATGTGCAGCTCCTCCCTGCCGCAAGCCTGTCAGGAGCTTATAGCTTAGTTTTACGTAACCGTGTGTTTGGATTCAGAGGAATGTTATTTCTGAAAAGTGACACTTCTTTGTTTTCTGGCACAATAAAAGGCTGTCAAGGCAGTCATTTCAAAGAGTGGCTCTTTGCATATCAAAGCCTTCTCGGAGGAGTTTTAAAGTGTCTTTTATGTTGTCGCTTGGCTCTGCCTGGAGCTGAACTTCTCCCTCTCTAGTGGTTTTCTGTCCTCCGGGTCCCCGTCCTGCCTTCCTGTTGGTCTGATTCAGTTTTCAGCATCACTGGATTGAGGACAAGGTAAAATATTAGTTTGTGTGTGTGTCAGACAGACAGAGAGGAAGAGGATGATGAAGAAAGAGTGGATTTTAATTTTGCCATCTTTAACAGTGAATGACAATATCGGCCGAGCCAATAAAACTAAGGGACAGGGACAGAAACAGATTTGTACATTGTCTACCGCTACTGCATCAGCCACTTTTAGCAGTGATAGCGATGACTCTCAGGCCACTGTTGAGTCCATGGGGGTCAAATTGAGGACAGGAGATGTTGGGATGGTAAAGTAAAGCTTGTGTTTACAGACATGACGGTGATCTCGATCTTCTTACTATTTAAAACTATTCATTAAAAAAATTGGTCAATAAATTATCAGATTATCTTGACTGTCTAACTTTAAAGTTTTGACCTGAACAATCTGTCCGGCCTCTCAGTTCAATATTTGGAAGAATGAATTTTCATCAGAATCTGGAGACACACAAACATTCGCAGCCTCGTCTGTCTGGCTGGTAGTTGCTGAGAAATCTCACTCTGAAACAGTGTTGGACGCACAAACAAAAATTATAAATAAAAACTAAAATGAGAAAAAAATGTCAAGTTCAATCCTATTAAACAGGAAAAATACAACAAATTAATTATCCATGAAACAAGAATTAGATTTAGTGCTGCAATCAATCAATGCTGATCAGTTTTCTCTTGATCAACTCATTGAATTAACAAAAAAAAAATCTTTATTTACATTAAAAATTTACTCTAATGTTAAAACTGAAGCTGGCAATTTACTTAATAATCTGAATCTTCATCCAACCAGTTCAGTTACTGTACAGAAGGCTGTATTTTACTGACATGGACAATAGGAACTTCCATTAACTGTAAACAGCTGGTTGAAGACATGTAATAAAGAGTAATAAAAAATGATTTGCTCTGCTGGTAACTGCCATGAAAATAGTATTTGGTATCTTGCTAACCACGTCCTTCCAGTCAACCCTATTGTGAAGTAACCTGATGACATCCTGTCCATCACTGCGTTTATGGGAACTATCAGGATTGATTTTCATTGTCAAACCCAGAAGACTGATCAGGAGGAAAGACTCGTGAGTCCTAGACGACGAGTTCCAGCCCTGAAACGGACTCTTAGCTCTGTGTAGGCTCTCTGTACCGGCTGAGTGGCTCTGTCTTTACCTCTTTCATGCTTCGCTGTGTGCCTGCTGGCTCCCATGATGCACAGCACTGTCACAGTGCTTTCACCTCAAAGGAGGTTGTGTGTTTCCTCAGAAGACCCAGTTAGTCAGTGTCTCGACAGTGTGAAATCCAGGCCAAAAAGAAATGCGTTCATTTTCACATTTCCTTTTCAGTTTTCAGTCGGTTTCAGTTGGTGCTGTGTTTTTGACATGTTTGCTTTCATTCCTACTGAAAACTTTATTTAACTGCTGTCTGAGGCACAAGGCAGCTTGATCCCATTCTAGCTAATTTCTGCTCCATTTCCCTGTTAACATTAAAGATATGCCATAATGAAGGCCATAACACTAATTAACAATACTACTTATGTAAATAATGTCTAACTGAAGTTACTGTTGAATACTGTTCCTTTTGGTTCAGTTTAAGGTCTGAATTAAATGAGTTTATCTTAAATCTCCAAATACACACCCTCCTTTTTTTGTTTTACTCACATGTACTCACTCAGAGTGTTTCATGAGTTCCATTATGAAGTCATTGGTTTCTTTGTGCATCATGTCTGCTTATAAGTGAAACAGAGTTTAGTCTTCACGTCCCTAAACAATTAGTGTCCCAGTTCCTATTTTATAGATTAGGTATTTTATTAGTTTGAAAGATTCAGTTAATGTCAAAAACAAGTTGGTCGTGCTCCTCTTATGCTACAACTTCAGTCTCAGCTTGTATTATGTAATAGAAAATCCTTAGTTTGTGATGCAGATTGCTTGTGGGGATTTTCAACATGACTGTTCAGTTTGCCACTGTGATATATTATGATATATAGTTTGAAAGAACAAAAGTCCTCCAAGTGTATAAGGCCATAGCCATGCCTGTCACCCCATAAGACTATAAAGCTCATAAAACAATTGTTGGATGGATGAAAAATTGCTGTTCAGGAACATTTACCATTATTGGTAAATGTAAAATGTAAAGTTTGCCCTTGCAGTTGATGCTAGAAGAATTGTCATATTTTTGGCTAAATCAAAAGAGTTTATCCTCTCTGAAGTTGCAATTTTATGAGACATCAGACTCTTATTTTTAGGTTATATTTTGTTCTTTGGTTTACAATTACAAATGGTCATGCAGAATCGGTCTGAGTCTAGAAGCTGCGCTGGACAAGTGAAAAAGTTCAACAACTTCATTAGGATTCATCCATGAATATGTTTACCAGGTTTCATGGCAATCTGTCTGATAGTAATTAGTTCAGATCCATCATTTGCCCCGAAGTTTGTTTGTGGTTGTCGCCTTGAATTATAATTTATGGCTCTAAAGTACAAATTCATTTGTCAAACTGCTGACGTGAGACACCATACCACAATATCATCTGATATTACTGTGTTGTTGTTGTTCACACTGTCTGATCTTACCATCACTTATCACCTCTACTTGCCTTTTTCCTGGCACCATGTGTTGGCATTTCCAAGGACAAATGTGTTCTGCTATTAATATTTATTATAAATATAACCCCATACTGCTTCCCCCATACAGCCAACCACTGCTCTCAACATCACACCGGCCAATATAAAGAACAGAAATGTCAGAGAAGGAAGCACGTGCCCTTTAAGCTGTATGCTTCCTCACGGACATGCATGCCAAAAACAATCACAGCAGCACAGCTCATAACACTGGCTACTGTCCCCTCTGATCCCTTGTGTCGTGAGTGGATGGGCAGGGATCTTATTGAGGTTATAAAATGACCGATGAAGTAAGGTGCAGAGTTGCACACTCTTTTCTGTGATCCATTTCATATCCTGTTGGTCCCAAAAGAGGGTGCAGTACAAAAACATGTTACACTGCTGAGCTTTCATTTTCAGACACAGTGTAGATGCCAGTGTTTTCTCAGATAGCTGATGTATCATTCTGAATTACAGGGCAAAGAGTATACAACACAGAATATCTGTAAAATAAAAAAATGTCATCATGGGTTTGACTATTTTGCTAGATGAAAGAATTATGTAATTTAACTGAGTCTCTTGAAATAAGATAATATATAATTATATATGGAAATCTATTGGGGATACAAGTGTTCTGAAGGTTGCTTTTGATTTTCTGAACTGAGAAGAAACTAAAACAATATCCATCCTCACTCTGATAGTAGTCAGTAATCAGTCTGTGATGTTCAAAGCCTTTCAGCACTAACTGCTCCTGTAAAGGTGGAGAGTGCAACAGCATTAGTGACAGTGAAGTGATTTCTTACAGTTTGTGAAAAAATTAGTAAGGAATAAGT